GCTGTTGAAAAGAAACCAGCAAAACTCTTCTCTCCCCCTGCTTTGCCCGAGCCTGAAATTTGGGGGAAGGGAGGCCAAGAGGGAGCCAATGGGATTTCCTGCTCCCTGGCATCAGCAGCAGTTCTGGGAAGGGGCCGGGGAATAGTGCGAAGAGCCCTTGTGCTCCAGACCGTGCCCAGCTGGGCCCAGAGTGTATGTCGGCTGTTGAAAAGAAACCAGCAAAACTCTTCTCTCCCCCTGCTTTGCCCGAGCCTGAAATTTGGGGGAAGGGAGGCCAAGAGGGAGCCAATGGGATTTCCTGCTCCCTGGCATCAGCAGCAGTTCTGGGAAGGGGCCGGGGAATAGTGCGAAGAGCCCTTGTGCTCCAGACCGTGCCCAGCTGGGCCCAGAGTGTATGTCGGAACCGCGCCCTCGGTCGCTGCCCCGGCCCCGCTGCGCACCATACTCCTCCACGCTGAACGAACGCCTGGTCCCCTGCACCTCGATGGCGTACGGCCCCAGGGCCGGCTCGGCAGCCAGCGGGAGGGACAGATCCACGATGCCCTGCTGCGGAGTCACATCTCGCCACTGGGCGATGCGGTTCCCGTGGGGATCCTGGCACACGGACACGCCCTGCTCAGCCGCTGCCCGCACACGGCTCCACCCGGCAGCCCCCGAGTGCCTGGCGCTGCTGGTGGGGCTGGATCGACGGCCGGGGCCTCAGATCTTCTCCTTAGCCTGGAGCAGGCACCCCCGGGTAGTCCTGGGCAAGTTCCCACCCCCCACGGTACCTCCCGCCAACACCCTGCAACCCTGACCCAAGGGCACCGGCTCAGGAACAGGCTCCCGTGGGCTTCCCATCTCCAGCCTGGACAAAGCCCAGGGAACAGCCGTAGGAACCGTCTCCATCTCAGCTCTAGGCCTTGGTGGGGATCCCAGCCAGGGCCCCACCCCCCAGCACCTGGAACAGGCTCCCGTGGGCTTCCCATCTCCAGCCTGGACAAAGCCCAGGGAACAGCCCTAGGGACCGTCTCCATCTCAGCTCTAGGCCTCTGTGGTAACGTTCCCTGTCCCCCTCCCCCAAGCAGCCTCCCCAAACCTCCACCCCCCTGCTCTGCAGCTCCCAGAAAGCCCCCCCTACCCAAGAGAGCCCCCACTTAGTTCCCCACTGGCCTGACCCAGCGTGTGGGGGCTGCGAACATTCGGGATGAGTGATTCAGGCAGGGATCCCAGCCAGGGCCCCACCCCCCAGCCCCTGGACAGCCCCAGACGATGCAAACACGGGTGGGGAGGACGTAACCCGACGGCACAAATGTCCCTCCCCACCCCCACGTGGCCTGGCTCAGAAACACCCTCTGCTCTGGGACCCTGTGCACCCCACGGGTAGGGGGGCCTAGGCTGGTTGCTGGACCCTGTGGTCAGAGCCCAGACCCCTCTGGGATCCCCACGACTGAACCCCCCCCTACAGCCCTCGGCTAAGCCAGACGGGAGGAGAAGGCTGGGGGGACAGACTGACCTGCAGGGTCACCAGGGGCAGCTGCAAAGCAAACAGACAGGAGATGCCGGTTAGAGCAGGGGTCTCCAACCTTTTCACACCCAAGATCACCTTTAAATGTCAGAACGAGCCAAGATCTACCGCCCGTCCTTCCCGCAAGACCCCACCCCTTCCTTGAAGCACCTTGATGGTGCAGAAGTGCTGTGGCGGAAGACTGAGGGTATGTCTACACTACCCCGCTAGTTCGAACTAGCAGGGTAATGTATGCATACCGAACGTGCAAATGAAGCCCGGGATTTGAATTTCCCGGGCTTCATTTGCATAAGCCGGCCGGCGCCATTTTTAAATGCCGGCTTGTTC